GCTGTACCCGCCCCTCCCCCGTCCGTTCCGCCAGTCAGCGCTGGAGGATCGGAGCGGGGGGAATCCCTGCAGAGAGCTGTGACAGGATCGAGAAGTGAGCGAGCCTCCCGATCTACTGAGCCGACCTGTGACAGTCTCATTGTCACAGGTCAGCTAGAACTATGAGGTGAGTGAAAAGCCCCCCCCCCCTTCCTCATAGTTCTCCTTTAAGGCAAAGCTGTCTGCAGGATTCAAATGCTGGCAACTTTATTCATCTGGATAACATAGAAAAAGAGTGCAAAGGGATTTGTATCACAACCCGCGCTCCTAACCACTGAGCCACCCTGCTGTCCATACTCCTGCACATGTGACCTGCAGGAACAAAGCTCCGAGGGATAGCAGAAGCCTAATTCTCTATGGCCGATCCTCACTACTGGCACTGAAAGCAGGTGAGAGGGAGGAGCTTAACATGCAATATTACCTGGTAGCCGTGCTTTCCTCTCCACCACGTGGTCAGTTCTTTGGGCGGCATGTCTATAACAGACACAATATCCCCCACCTGCAGGGAAGAGAACACAAAACACCAGAAGTGCAATATTCCGTACAGATCGCGCCGCCCCACAGAACCCCAACACAAGATGTAAGTGCGAGTCTCGGGGTGTGAGTCAGTTACAGCTGAACTCCAGGCAAGCCGCTAATGTCACAGATAAAATACAAGGGGACTGCTATGCCTGCCAAAATAATGGGCATTTCTGCCCATCCGGTCCTGAGATTTGCACAGCTCTGCTTTATAGCAAGGCCTTTCTGACAGGGCAGGGGACATGATTTTTCGCTACTGCGCCTATGGGTCTCGTCCCTCCCCCAGCCTGTGATTGGACAGTGAAGGTGAAGCAGTAGACTTGTGACCTCATCTCTCTGCTCTCTCCTCCTATCACCATGTCCCTTATGAGAACTGCAGCACAACTGATTGGCTCCTTGTGCTGCTTCTCCCTTTCAGAGTCTGAGCTCTGCTGTACAGGGGCTGCAGAGGCTGACACCAAGTCAGTTTGGGTTCTTACATTGCTTGCATTCAATAAATAAATGTAATGATTTATTAATAAATACAAAGCTGCATTGATTTGCGTCCTTTATATGTTCCTGGAGTTCAGTTGTAGTATATAGAGCCCCCCTG